CGAGCAGGGAGCCCGATGCGGGACTCGATCCCGGGACTCCAGGATCATGACCTGAGCCGAAGGCAGTCGCTTAACCAACTGAGCCACCCAGGCGCCCTGGTCTTAGGCTTTTCTTTGTGAAAGGGTTTTTGATTACTGATTCAATATCCTCACTCATCATTGGTCTGTTTACATTTTCTGTTTTTCATGATTTAGTCTTGGCAGGTTGCATGTTTCTTGGAATTTACTTCTTTTAGATTATCCAATTTGTTGGCATATAAATGTTTCAGTATTCTCTTATAATCCTTTGTATTTCTGACATCACTTGTAATGTCTCCTTTTTCACTTATAATTTTTATTTGAGTCCTTTCTCCCTCTGGCTGGTCTAGCTAAAGATTTTCAATTTTAACTTTTCAAAAAAACCAACTATCAGTTTTGTTGATCTTATCTATTTCTTTTGTAGTCTCTATTTCATTTATTTCTGTTCTAATCTTTCTTATTTCTTTCCTTCTGCTAACTTTAGGCTTAATTTCTCCTTTTTCTAGTTCCTTGATATGTAAAGTTAGATTACTTATTTGTGAACTTTCTTCTTTCTTAATATATGATTATCACTATAAAGTTCCCTCTTAGTACTGCTCTTGCTGCATCTCATAAGTTTTGGTATATTATATTTTCATTTTTCTCAAGATTTTTTTTTTTTAATTTTCCTTTTGATTTCTTCTTTGACCCACTCATTGTTCAGGAATGTGTTCATTTTTTATGTATTTTTGGATTTTCAAATTTTCCTCCTGTTATTGATTTCTAATTTCATACTATTGTGGCCAGAAAAGATACTTGATATGATTTCAGTTTTCTTTAGCTTGTTAAGATGTGTTTTGTGGCCTAAGATTGTGGAATTTCCCTATCTTGCCTTATCTAGTTCCCATATTTCTTTCTCTTCCTTTCTACCTTCAAATATCACCATTTACAGTTTTTTCCCATTATTTTTAGGATGTTTTTGATTCTTCTTATTTCCACTTCTATAAGCATGTTGCATTCAGGAATTAGATTTTATAGACTATTTTATTCTCATTGCCAGCACTTAGGAAGTGTGCTTAACAAGTATTTATAGAAGCCAGGAGGAAGATTTAAAATTTTACAGAGATGTGAAAAAGACTCCAACCAGTTTACCTGTTAAACTTACTCCTAACTTGTGAAGGCCACTGAATTAAACAACAACAACAAAAAAATTAAAATCAGATTCAGCTCCCCTTGTGGGTATGTTTAAAATGCAAAGATTGACCAGAACCAGTGAAGATGACTTGCAACAGGAAGAACTTTTATTGACACACCACCATAGAGAAAGTCAAAGAAATGTTACCATTCTACAAACAGCTTGTCTTAATTCATTGGAAGAAAAGCAGAAAAATAAGAGGGCTTTTATTTAGGACCCTAGCTTCAGTTTGGTATTTTAATTCAGGGACTCTTCTTCTGGGCCTCAGGAAGGCACCCTCTGTTCACTCTTCACGTTGTTGGCTTTGGCTGCTTTCTCTTCCACAGCGTGAACTCTGGATGAGAGAACTTTGCCACGAGGATCTAGTTCTTCAACAATTGTTTTAACCATGGTGGTTTTAGATAACTCTAAAATGACACATGAATTGTTAGAATTTATCAGATCCACGAAGGGGAAATAATTAACTCATCATTTGAAACTTAATACAAGTACATTTTGAATGCTCAACACAGCTTTTGTTTACCTTTGATCTGATTTCCTGGTCCTCCATAGCCTTTTGATTTAACACAAGAGCTGTAACAATATAGAGAGCTTGCATTAATTATTTCACTCTCTTTTGCCGAGGAAACTGGAAAACAAGGATTTAAGATGGGAGATCTCTGGATTCTGAAATAACACTACAAGGGGTTTAGTTATACATGATATAGGTCACAGACACTTTGTACTTGATTTCTAAAAAATTTAATAACCTTAAAATAAAATATAAAGTGTTTCCTCAGTAGAAGCTGTGCTTACCCATCCTCTCCATCAATCAGGCGGCAGTAGGTCTCGATTTCCTTCTCCAGGTGGACCTTGATGTCGAGCAGCTGCTCGTACTCCAGCTTCTGGCCCTCCGTCTCGGTTCTGACCTGGTGCAGCTGCTCCTCCAGGGCCCCGATCTGAGCCTGGATCTGGGCGAGCTGTGCACAGTAGTTGCCTTCGGTCTCGGTCAGGGAGCACTCCAGGGAGTGTTTCTATGGATCAGGAAGACATAGTTTAGTAGAAAGTGTCACAGTGTTGGCAGAGCACTTAAGAGATATTTAAAAGAGTTATCTTACACAATGCAAATAAGCATATTTACCCCCAAAGAGTCCCCCTTGTTCAATATTAATTGTTGCCTTTATTAGATGTCCTACTGTTTTTCTGTTTGAGAGTGACACAGTTGGTGGTGAATGTCACTCATATGTCCAGGAGTGTTAGCAAAGATGAACTTGTTTCTTCATAGGGCACAGTCTAAAGATCCCCCTGCCCCATCTCTGGTTCAAGAATCTGGCACAATTTGCCACATTTCCCAGGAATAAAAGTCCCCCTACAGTTTGCTACTTTGTTTCTAATCACATGACAGTCTTGTCTCATGGAGACTGTAGCTCTTCTATAAAAATTAATAAGCCCATAGTGAACTGGGTAAACTTTCCCGAAGTAGACTGACCCAAAGAAAAGAACAACCTTTTTAAGCTTTAAATGGTTTGTGAATCCAAATGGGTTTATAAAGTGTTTCTCCTAAAGTGGGATGCTCGCTATACTTTTACATGGAATGAAGATAAAAGTGTCTTCCTCTTTCAGCTGCAAGAATTTTTATGCCAAATCCTAATTTTATATACATTCATACCCTCTTTTGTGGATAAACTCTGAAGGTTTGTGTACTAGCCATAGCGGGAGAAGTATAGACGTGGGAGTTAGGTAATTTGGAGAGAAGTTCAGGTTCCTTCGTATTCAACTGTGGGGCTCTGGGAAAACTGCTTAACTTCTTTGAATCTCAGATTGTTCTTTTGAAAATAATGATAGGAATTATAAAGTCTGCCCTGCCCAAGCCCCAGGGTTATTGTGGACTCAAGTGGGAGAAAGTGCCGGGCAAAACCTTAATGAAAAGGTTACTATTATTATCAAGGGTGTTTAGCTTTAGAGGCAACATTCATGCCTCCGCTTTGCTTCTTGTTTATGCCACTTAAAAAGGAACTTCTAAGTGTTCTTAATTAAGTGGCCCAAAGGAATGCCAGATGAAGAAGATAGAAGGGGTGCGAACGCATTTTTGCATTCGGCCGAGAATGGTTTTTTTATCTTTTGACTTGGGAGAGAAGATTCAGGGTAGAAACCATTTTCTTTTCCGAGTACCTCAAAATAAATGTACTTGCCAATTTCCAACGTTTCATAATTATGAGCACCTAGGTCTACTTTTCAGGCCAAGAGGGCTCTGCTGTGAAAAATGCAAATGTGTCTTATGTCAAGCCCGGCAATTAACGGATAAAAACGAAGGTAAGTAATATCACGTGGAAGAGACGCTCTTTACATTTCTTCCCCACTGCTGAAACCCATCTTTTTTGGTACTTTCTACTGACCATTGCCAAGAGGTGCTCTTTACATTTCTTCCCCACTGCTGAAACCCATCTTTTTTGGTACTTTCTACTGACCATTGCCAAGAGG